CCCCCTTTCTTCCGTCGTGGCTCAAGACTCAGGTTTTTTGACGGTGAGGTGCGAACTTAGCGAACTTTCAACGTAGCGGGACAAGTCAGTAGAAACTGTGCAAAAAAAATGAAATGGGAATGTGAATTAACACCTTAATTAGTGCTGTGTCCCTCCTCTTCCACTTTCGTAACACACCCGAAACACCAATGCAGACCGCTCGTAAGTGAGAAGTGCTCCTCCCCTCAATTCCCCTAGATTTCCCGTCGAAATCCCAAAATTTAATTCAAATATCAGGACATGTTTTTGTGTCATTATAGGTGATTCTGACTCGCAGATTCGTTAGTTTGACAGAACGTAATTCCAGCCCAATATCACAAAATTGACCCCGGCAGCTAAATTGTTTCCATGAATATGACTGTGTGATTTGTGTCTAAAAGTAAATCCCTTCCAAAGCGCGTTTCGTGGTACAAAATAAAATGAAATTTGAAACTATGAAAAAAAAAATGTGCATTGCGGCTGAAAGAATATCAATTAGTGCGTTACGAATCACTTTTTGTAATAAAATTGAATAACAGATAAAACCAGATACAAATCAGAGTTGAGAGGGTTGAAAGTATCTTAAACTCACAATTATTTTTTTCGGTAATTGAGCGTATAAAAAAAAGCAAATTCATAAATTGATTCATTAGGAATAGCGTAAGTGGTACCTAATTGGTGACCCATTATTCAGATCTATTTTCTATACAGAATTAGATCTAAACTGGGTTTATTCTCTTAAATTTTCTAGCCTTTCATTCATTTTAAGTGAATGGATATTTTAAGTATGATTTCATCACAGGAAAATCCGATACGTACACTAAAACTTAATTTAAAGATAAGAAGAACAGCTGATTTGGCAAAAAACTAAATTTTAAATCGCATTTACAACACCTATGTAATATCAAATTTGTATATTTTCAATCCTCCTTGCGGGTAAAAGTGAGAACTTTCATTTTCTGAACGCTTCTGTACTTAAATGCATGGACAGAAGCATCCCAATAGTACAGCAAAGCGCATAGCTGGAGGAGGAGATGTATGTGTGAAAAAAAGGTAGAAAAACACCGGTCAAGGGAGATAAGCAAAGGATGGTGGGAGGGGAAACATCTACCACGATAAGGTGAACAAAATGATCAAGAAAAGAAACCACGCAGAATATGGGTAATGGAGTCGAGGATTACGAGAAGACGTGAGAAATTTTTTACCTTTTTCCCCTTAATGTTTTTTTTAT